TTTTAAGGCTGGCACGCAGACTGCTGGTCACCATAGCAACACAGACAACCTTGCCTATTTAGTAGCTAAAGAAAAAGCAAAGAGAAAGATTTAAGACAAACATCGATTATTTGGAGATGAAATTGACTTATTTGCATTTATAATCACTCCAGCTGGTTTCCGGATACGTTTAATCTGCAACGAGAAACTATCAAATATTAAAAAGTCACGAGGCTGAAGTCGCTTCTCACTCGCCAGCTTCTTGTTCAAATTGTCCTGTTCCACCTTAAACAGTGCAGCAGCTACAATCTGGTGCCTCAGGAGCCATTTAAGGTAAAACAAGAACATTCGAACAAGAAGCTGCTGAATGAGAAGCGACTTCGGCCTCCTAAAAAGTCGAACGTTGAGAGACTGTGGAAAAGTTTCCTGCTGGAGATGCGAGAAAAGCAGCTATAGCTGAGCTAAAGCTTAAAGCAGAGCAAAGTAAGTCTGTGTTTTCGTTTATATATATATTTTTGTCTATACTAGCACATCAGCACATACTGAGACATATTTACAGCCAAGGTGGTAAAATGGGCATAAAATGTGGCTCCCAAGGTGGATTATTTTTTGTTAAAAGAACAAAATGGCTCTTCTTAACATTTGGGCTGTGACCCCAGCTGTGGGTAAAATGTGATGAGGACATTGAGCAGTGGCTGACATGCCATGACTATACCAGTCAATCAGAGCCAAAGAATGTAAGATTCTGAAGCATTACACCAAAAAATGACCCATTAATCTCAGATTCAAAACTGTATTAGGATATCCAGATTTTGTTGGTTGCCAGATGCTAAATTTTCCAGTGTTAGTTAAGTTTGGATATGCTAGACATTCTAAAATTGAGAGAGCAAAATATTCTTTTAATATACTGTATATGGCTGCTCCTTAATATGTTTATGCTCACGACCCAGCGTTCTTTAGAATGTTCTTCTCCATCCACTGTGTTCCAAAATGTTCTCCCTCTGTTCACACTGTTCTTGCCATTTACACTATTCTAAATGTTTTCTCCCTTTCATGTTCTCCTCCATTCACACTGTTCTAGAATGTTTTCCGCCATGCCTACCGTTCTAAAATGTTCTCCTCCATTCACACTGTTCTAGAATGTTTTCCGCCATGCCTACCATTCTAAAATGTTCTTCTCCATTCACACTGTTCTAGAATGTTTTCCACCATGCCACCATTCTAAAATGTTCTCCTCCATTCACACTGTTCTAGAATGTTTTCCACCATGCCACCATTCTAAAATGTTCTCCGCCTTTCACACTGTTCTAGAATGTTTTCCACCATGCCACCATTCTAAAATGTTCTCCTCCATTCACACTGTTCTAGAATGTTTTCCACCATGCCACCATTCTAAAATGTTCTCCGCCTTTCACACTGTTCTAGAATGTTTTCCACCATGCCACCATTCTAAAATGTTCTCCGCCTTTCACACTGTTCTAGAATGTTTTCCACCATGCCACTATTCTGAAATGTTCTTCTCCATTCACACTGTTCTAGAATGTTTTCCACCATGCCACCATTCTAAAATGTTCTCCGCCATTCACACTGTTCTAGAATGTTTTCCACCATGCCACTATTCTGAAATGTTCTTCTCCATTCACACTGTTCTAGAATGTTTTCCACCATGCCACCATTCTAAAATGTTCTCCTCCATTCACACTGTTCTAGAATGTTTTCCACCATGCCACTATTCTGAAATGTTCTCCTCCATTCACACTGTTCTAGAATGTTTTCCACCATGCCACTATTCTGAAATGTTCTTCTCCATTCACACTGTTCTAGAATGTTTTCCACCATGCCACCATTCTAAAATGTTCTCCGCCATTCACACTGTTCTAGAATGTTTTCCACCATGCCACCATTCTAAAATGTTCTCCTCCATTCACACTGTTCTAGAATGTTTTCCACCATGCCACCATTCTGAAATGTTCTCCTCCATTCACACTGTTCTAGAATGTTTTCCACCATGCCACCATTCTGAAATGTTCTCCTCCATTCACACTGTTCTAGAATGTTTTCCACCATGCCACCATTCTAAAATGTTCTCCGCCTTTCACACTGTTCTAGAATGTTTTCCACCATGCCACTATTCTGAAATGTTCTCCTCCATTCACACTGTTCTAGAATGTTTTCCACCATGCCACTATTCTGAAATGTTCTCCTCCATTCACACTGTTCTAGAATGTTTTCCACCATGCCACTATTCTGAAATGTTCTTCTCCATTCACACTGTTCTAGAATGTTTTCCACCATGCCACTATTCTGAAATGTTCTTCTCCATTCACACTGTTCTAGAATGTTTTCCACCATGCCACTATTCTGAAATGTTCTCCTCCATTCACACTGTTCTAGAATGTTTTCCACCATGCCACCATTCTAAAATGTTCTCCTCCATTCACACTGTTCTAGAATGTTTTCCACCATGCCACCATTCTAAAATGTTCTCCTCCATTCACACTGTTCTAGAATGTTTTCCACCATGCCACCATTCTAAAATGTTCTCCGCCTTTCACACTGTTCTAGAATGTTTTCCACCATGCCACTATTCTGAAATGTTCTTCTCCATTCACACTGTTCTAGAATGTTTTCCACCATGCCACCATTCTAAAATGTTCTCCGCCTTTCACACTGTTCTAGAATGTTTTCCACCATGCCACTATTCTGAAATGTTCTTCCCCATTCACACTGTTCTAGAATGTTTTCCACCATGCCACCATTCTAAAATGTTCTCCGCCATTCACACTGTTCTAGAATGTTTTCCACCATGCCACCATTCTAAAATGTTCTCCTCCATTCACACTGTTCTAGAATGTTTTCCACCATGCCACCATTCTGAAATGTTCTCCTCCATTCACACTGTTCTAGAATGTTTTCCACCATGCCACTATTCTGAAATGTTCTTCCCCATTCACACTGTTCTAGAATGTTTTCCACCATGCCACCATTCTAAAATGTTCTCCGCCTTTCACACTGTTCTAGAATGTTTTCCACCATGCCACTATTCTGAAATGTTCTCCTCCATTCACACTGTTCTAGAATGTTTTCCACCATACCACTATTCTGAAATGTTCTTCCCCATTCACACTGTTCTAGAATGTTTTCCACCATGCCACTATTCTGAAATGTTCTCCTCCATTCACACTGTTCTAGAATGTTTTCCACCATGCCACTATTCTGAAATGTTCTTCCCCATTCACAGTTCTAGAATGATCTTCCCCATTCTCTCCCCATTCACACTCTTCTGGAATGAACTCTCCTTATCACACTGGTTCTTGGCTTGTCAGTTCTTATTCTGGAACAGTGCGAGTCTGACTGTCAACTTTAGGATATCAGTGTCTGCTGGTGAATGTTGTGTCAGTGTGTCGTGGCCTTCAGGCAGGCTAATCTTAGCGTCAAGTGTATTTCAGGAAAAGACTGAAACGGATTGAAAAATATGTCCATTTCATATCATTGTCATGTGTAACGCTGTCAATTTATATTAGAATCTTTAACTAGCGTTGAATGCTTAGGGCACGTTCCATTGGCAACAACATGGTGCAGCCACAGCAACTGCTTAACACAGTGACACACATTGTAACTCACCTCCCCTGTGCAGAGCCTGTTATCTGCATCGCAGCTGTCGCGCCATCTTGGGCTTTACGATTAATGTTTCCTACAGGAGGCCCCATCCCTGGCCCAGCGGACTGGGGCATGCTGGGAGAGGTGGGTGCCATGCTGTTCCCGCTGCCCGGGTAGAGTCGATTGCCGGCTCCTGGGCTGCGACCCATGGACACGGGCTGTCCTGGACCCTGTCCATGCATGGGGCTGCTGGAGTTCATTCCCAAACTGTTGGTCATACCAGGTCCCGGACCAGTGCAGTTAGCATTAGCCATCCCTCCATAGGCAGGCAGAAATGTTCTTCTCCATTCACACTGTTCTAGAATGTTTTCCACCATGCCACCATTCTAAAATGTTCTCCGCCATTCACACTGTTCTAGAATGTTTTCCACCATGCCACTATTCTGAAATGTTCTTCTCCATTCACACTGTTCTAGAATGTTTTCCACCATGCCACCATTCTAAAATGTTCTCCTCCATTCACACTGTTCTAGAATGTTTTCCACCATGCCACTATTCTGAAATGTTCTCCTCCATTCACACTGTTCTAGAATGTTTTCCACCATGCCACTATTCTGAAATGTTCTTCTCCATTCACACTGTTCTAGAATGTTTTCCACCATGCCACCATTCTAAAATGTTCTCCGCCATTCACACTGTTCTAGAATGTTTTCCACCATGCCACCATTCTAAAATGTTCTCCTCCATTCACACTGTTCTAGAATGTTTTCCACCATGCCACCATTCTGAAATGTTCTCCTCCATTCACACTGTTCTAGAATGTTTTCCACCATGCCACTATTCTGAAATGTTCTTCCCCATTCACACTGTTCTAGAATGTTTTCCACCATGCCACCATTCTAAAATGTTCTCCGCCTTTCACACTGTTCTAGAATGTTTTCCACCATGCCACTATTCTGAAATGTTCTCCTCCATTCACACTGTTCTAGAATGTTTTCCACCATGCCACTATTCTGAAATGTTCTTCCCCATTCACAGTTCTAGAATGACCTTCCCCATTCTCTCCCCATTCACACTCTTCTGGAATGAACTCTCCTTATCACACTGGTTCTTGGCTTGTCAGTTCTTATTCTGGAACAGTGCGAGTCTGACTGTCAACTTTAGGATATCAGTGTCTGCTGGTGAATGTTGTGTCAGTGTGTCGTGGCCTTCAGGCAGGCTAATCTTAGCGTCAAGTGTATTTCAGGAAAAGACTGAAACGGATTGAAAAATATGTCCATTTCATATCATTGTCATGTGTAACGCTGTCAATTTATATTAGAATCTTTAACTAGCGTTGAATGCTTAGGGCACGTTCCATTGGCAATGACATGGTGCAGCCACAGCAACTGCTTAACACAGTGACACACATTGTAACTCACCTCCCCTGTGCAGAGCCTGTTATCTGCATCGCAGCTGTCGCGCCATCTTGGGCTTTACGATTAATGTTTCCTACAGGAGGCCCCATCCCTGGCCCAGCGGACTGGGGCATGCTGGGAGAGGTGGGTGCCATGCTGTTCCCGCTGCCCGGGTAGAGTCGATTGCCGGCTCCTGGGCTGCGACCCATGGACACGGGCTGTCCTGGACCCTGTCCATGCATGGGGCTGCTGGAGTTCATTCCCAAACTGTTGGTCATACCAGGTCCCGGACCAGTGCAGTTAGCATTAGCCATCCCTCCATAGGCAGGCAGTCTTGTGTAGTTCCCTGAGGAAAGCATGCAGAGGAAAGAAAAATAAGGATTAGCTCTGTTTCTGCTTAAATTTTTTTTAATCACACAAAGTGCTACAGTCAGTAAGACACAGCAATTTCCTAATTAACTATGGTTGCCCTCAAATGCACAAAGGTTCTGAAAACACACTGTTAAAAAAACATTACGCGTCAATTTAGCCAAATTACCGAATCAAAGTAATACTCCCTGTTCTACACTTGCTTTAAACGAGATAGGAAGCATTCTAGAGAGTATGCTTCCAAGGCTGTATATACGACCAGCACTTGGCGAACAGGCTCTCGCAGCATACAGTAGTTTACTGTGTTCCTTCATGCTGCAATGGGTTTTTAGCTCTAATGTCCCTGTGATTGCCATCAGGGGCCTGATGGCATTAAGCACTGAGGAGGATCTGCTGAATCAACAGAAGAACAATTGCATCGCTTGAGCTAAAGTTCCTGAAACACTGTGAAGTCTCTTTAATTGCCAGTAAACAGTTTCGCCATTGTCCAGAGAGCTCAGGGAGATGTGACAGTCCTCCTAAGGCGCACTTAAACCTGCACATTTTGGTCTTAGCTGCAAAAAAATACTCTTCAGTGTGCTGTAGAGTCAAACATACAAACAAGGGCCCAATCCCATTTCACCCTTGCCCCTATCACTTAGCCCTTAGCCCTCCATTTTGCACGTTCATGTCTAGGGGTGGGGCGTTCTGATTTTTTGTTGAGATAGAGGGGTAGGGTGAAGTGTTAGGCCGGAGGTTTTTAGAGACACACTCCAAACGGTGTTATGAGAAAAAAAAAGAAACTGGCAAGATGGCTGCGCAAGCGACCAAAGAAACCCACAGATGATAACCATGGTATTATTTTAGCTTAATGTCGCTTCAGTGTAATATTGTCATTTTCTTCATAACAAGAATAGAAAATCGGTAATAGTATGCTTTTGTCTTGGTAGCTAGCTAGCTGAATTACCTGTTCCACCTTAAATAATCCAGCAGTACTGATGCCTGAAGCACCAGAATGTAACTGCTGCACCATTTAAGGTGGAACGGGAAAATTCGAATGAGAAGCTGGCGAATAGCTGGCTTCAGTTTTATACCACTGAAGAATTGGGGGTGGGTGATAATAACTGTCTTATCCCCCCTTTTTGAAAGCATATGATTCCCTAAATGTAACTAAAGCCCAGCAGCCCCATTTTGTAAAGGAATATTTCAACCATTACCTCTTGTAACTCAGTTCCAAGGGACAAGGAGACACTCAAAAACAAGGGGTAGAGGTAAAAATAAGAAATGGGATTTAGCCTAGGACTATGTACAGGGCTGGACAAAATAACAGAAACAACCCATGAAAAATCACTTTTTAGTAACAAAATCACATTTAGGCAGCTAAACATGTGAACTACATTAGAACACCAGTTAGTTAGCTATAACTGATGATCTGATGATTTATGCTCCTGTAAGCCAAGATGATCTATCTGCCACTGCACACATTCAGAAGTGGCTACATGAACATAGGTTGAAGTTAAAAGCCTTTGAAACATCTGGAGTGCAGAGTACAAACAAGATTTCCACTTCTTAGAAGAAGAAGAAGAAGATGAAGAAGTCTAATATCCCACTACAGACAGTTTTAGTACAACAGCATTCCAAGAACACAGTAAGGCAAAGCATGGCATCATTCCATATTAGATCATATACAGTACTGTGCAAAAAAGCCATAAGTACAAGTTATTCATTTTTCAAAATCAGGTGTTTCTGTCCATCCTTCCACTGTGAGAAGACAACTCAGGAAGGATGTGTAGCTGTCAAGAAGCCTCACTGAGAAACGGAAACAGACAAAAAAGAGAAGAAAATGTATTTGCCAATCAAACAAAGAAGCTGCTGGTTCTTAGAACAATGAACTGATCACCCCAGAGTCCAGACCTTAACATCACTGAATAATACAAAGGCCAAGAGGCATTTTCAAATTATGTCAAAAACTGAAAAATGACAAAAATAGAGATACGAGGTTTTGTTCCGACAGCAGCGATATTTTGCGTTAATGCATTTAAGCATTAAGCACTATACCACTTTTTCTGTTCCGATACCAGTCTGATATTTTTCTTTAAATTACTGAGCTATTTTTTAACTGAAAACACTTTATTTTAAGCTACACTCTGTGTGATTTGTGTTAAAACTGAAAGCTGCAGCATTACTACTTCATTATCAGGAGAAAAAACTGCAAAAATATGGTTTGTACTGCTGCAAGCCTGTAATATTCATTTAAAAGTCTGAGGTGTTCGGTCAGATTTCACAGGAGTTTTTCAAACACACACAGCCTCAGTCAGAAGGTCTGGCACTATGTTAAAGACTCAAATGCAAAATCAACAATATATTGATGAAGATATGATGACAACAGTAGATAATTCACTCATCCTCAATGACACATCCACATCAACAAGTTTGACTGACTTCTCTCAGAATTCTCTTATAACGTGCTCACAGTAATCACATTCATCTGCTCGGGGAAGGAGTCCTTAGCACAACCAATGTTCCAAAATGTTTTTCCACATATGCGTACAATTACACACTTCCACCAGAGAGGTCTCCAAATCCCAAAAAATTACATAGCGGAGCTTTAAGAGGAAGAAATTTACAGCTAACAACATCACAGCCAGTAACATGACATCACACACTGCAAAAAATGCTATCTTGTCAGATAAAATTATCTTAACTCTTTTCAATAAATCTAAAATTTTTCCTGTTGAGATTGTTGTAAGTTTAATTTAAGATCATTTAAATTATGTGCAAACACTTTTACTAGTTTTAAGTGATTTTATTAAGTAAAATTATCTCATTATATAGGCAGATTAATTGTGCTTGTTTTAAGAAAAGTGCTTGAAACTAGCAAAGGTATCTGCCAGTATAGTGAGATAATTTTACTTGATAAAATTACTTTGTAAAATGTCTAGAAATAAGGTAGATAATCCTATAATAAGTGCACAACCGTCTCAAAATAAGAAATATTAGATAGATCGCTTATATAAAATGTTTTCCCTTGACAAGGTACTATTTTTTGCAGTGCACAGTATGAGTGTGTGCTATTTCAGGATATGTTTGTTACAGCATTGAATTGGATTCATTTTTTCACTCTGATATCCAATCAAGCACTTTCTGCTGATATTGGCCCAATACTGATACTCATTGATACAGATATGCCGTCTCATACTTTTAAATGTTAACTGGTTAGGAGTTTTTTGTAGAAAGTGGATTTATGTTTTAACTCAGCTCCTACCACACTGCAGGTTAAAGTGTCCTTTGATTCCTTTGGTTTTACTCATGAACACTGAGCCAAGTTGACACCCCTGACACCTCTATAATCTGCAACCATGGAAAAGAGCCAGGACCGCTAGACCTACCGACCCACCATGCATGAAGTAAGGTGAAAAAAAAATCCCTTAAAGAAGTGTGTGGGGAGAGGAGAAATATAAGTGTTTATTCTGAGGGGAGGGGTGTATTTATTTTGATTTCATTATGGGTGCTTTAGTTAGGGCTCACGGTCTAATCCCAGAGAATGTCTGGAAAAAGGGATGAAGTCCCTATAAGACCTAGAGGCTTTCCCTGCTCTGAATGACAAAAAAATCCCTGAATCACAGTGCACACTGAGAAAACTCGACACAAATCATAGAGTTTCAATATCAACAAAGCATTTCAATAAGAAGGGAAGCAGTTGTGTGGGAAATCCACCTGAGATTTGTAAGCCATCTGAATACTTCTGAAATTACATGCAGAGAGCTAAAATCACAGAACGCGAAAACACCAAAATAGCTGTTTATAGACAAGGGGCGATTTTTTTTTTTAAGTTTTCTGAACAATAGAGCTGGATTTGAAGCTGAAATGTACTCAGGTTTTCATGCTGTGCAGTCAGGCCGTGACTCTGAAGAGAAGTGAGGCTGATCTGGCATGCTGCTTCACATTTCTGTCAAAGCAACGGTATTCTTTGCAGTGAGGGCTCAAGTGCTGGACCTTGGAGAGCCCTGCACAGCTGCGGAGCTGCCTTCACTCTCGCTTGGCTAGCTTGGCCATCACTGTGCGTGTTTTGGCTGCACTTTTGCCCTGATTCAGGATCAGTCCATGTGTCTCCCGTAGCGCTGCGCTCAGACCTCACACGGCTATTCAACTCTCCCACTATTCATTTTTCATCTTCAGAGTTCTGACCCCTTCAATAAACAAGCCAGTGTGTACCTAGTGATTTCTTCATGAAAGCATTTTGTTTTCTCAAACTTTGACTAGAACTTGATCTGTACGTTAGGGGTGGGCGATATGGGAGAAATATCATATCATGATACTTAAAGACCTTTCCATGATATATATCACAATATTCTGACGCACTGTATTGACATGTTTAAAACTGCTAGTGCAATGACTTAATTCAACATTTCACATACTGCACTAAAACCAATTAAGCAGGACTAATTGTGCTCTCTTCTTAATTAAACATGCAGTTGCTCAGTGTTCTTTAAGTACTGTATATTGTTCACATAGACAATATTCACAATCTGCTCACAAAAGCATATCGTTTAACAAGACAATAAAATATATTCTAACAATAAAATATCATTTTATATATATATATATATATATATATGTGTGTGTGTGTGTGTGTGTGTGTGTATATATACATATTATAATTGTTATTATCATTATTTATTTATTTATTTATTTATTTTCAGAGATCACCCTTCGTTGACTTCATTTCCAGTCAAAACGGCAATAGGGTCAAGAAAAAAAATTAAATAATTCCATAAAATTTTTAGGTGACTTGCTTTCAGGTTTTCAAAAAAATCTACAGGAATATTTTTCACACCTCCAAACTTTAGTCCTAGAAGTTGGTGATATTTATTCACATAATCCCAATCCCACAACCACATTCAGTGATGCTGAGATCTAGATTCTGGGGTGATCAGTCCATTGTTCTGAGAACACCAGCAGCTTCTTTGTTTGATTTGCAACTTTTCCTTTTTGTCTTTGTGCTTCTCTCATTAACGGCTACACATCCTTTCAGACTCATAGCTCTGAGTTGTCTTCTCACAGTGGAAGGATGGACAGAAACATGGATATTTTTCCACACCACCAAAGTTCAGTCTTAGAAGTTGGTTGCCCAAACGAACCCAACAATGCTGAGGTCTGGACTCTGGGGTGGTGAATCTATTGTTGTGAGAACACCAACAGCTTCTTTGTTTGATTTGCAAATTTTCTCTAGTTTTGTCTACTTTCTTTTCTTAGAAAGAGCTCATACGCTGAGTCGTCTTCTCACAGTGGAAGGATGGACAGGAAAACCTGTGGATGTTTTCAGATCTGAAGCAGCTTGATTTTCTCCTCTCTCTCATAGACGAAAGCTTTAAGTGCTGCTTATCTGATGGGGGGCAGTTTAGGTGGTCTACCAGGACTCCACTGTTGTTAGGAGTCCCATTTTCTCTAGGCATTTTAATAGCATTTTAACTTCGGTTTTGGAAACTCCCATTTTTCATTTATTTTTCTACCCTTCTAATTAATTTGTAACTATCCCTTTTCAGTTTACTGAAGATTCTCTTGCTTCAAAGCTGAAATTTCGCCCGGGACTGTATGTAGACTTGCAGTTCAGGAAAATAAACTGCTGGTCCTGCTCTGAAGAAATGATTTGAGTTTGAGGCCCAGCAGTCAGTGTCTATGTGATATTTTCCCACTTTTCTCTCTTCCTCCCTGAAAATGGCTAATTTTCGGAACTGCTGGTGCTTGGCTAACAGGGCCTCTTCAGAGGTGATAAGGGCCGCCTCTCAATCTCAAGCTCTGTCCTTTACAGCCACTGAGGAGCTCATCTTTAACCCAGAGTGTTGCCACAAATAACTGAATAGATCTGGGGATTCATTCTACCGACGGTTCTATTTCTTCACAAGGCGGTCAAACCCATGGTATTGGCTATTCTAGTGTTTTCTCAAGCAAAAAATGAACCACAGTCTTTTTTATATCAGTCTCAGCCCTTCAGATATCCTCCGCCATCTCCTCCCAGGCGCTCGCCATTGGGAGGTGTGGTATTCATAGCAGGCCGAAGGGAGGGAGAAACTGCAATGCGTTACCAATTACATGGAAATTCGAGGCATGGTCACACATTCCGAGGACGCTGTTCCTGAGCTGTATTTAATCCCCACTCTCCCCCAGGAGAAGAGGACTGTGACCGACCAGATTAGAGACACTGCCTCCTCAGCACTCTTCACCCAAGCCCCATTCACTCGTTCCAGTCAACAGCACTAAAACTTCAACACGTAAATTACTTCCGGAATTCATTTAAACGTGGGTAAATGCTTAAACTCTGGTCTCCAAATCAACCACAATTCCTAATTTGCCATCGCTAGTGAAGCTGAACTGACTGAAGTTTTAATTCCAGATGGAAGAATCTTGTGTTGTAACTCTAATAAAGTGGCATAGAAGTTCTAACGATGTCATAAATAATAAAAAAGGTGTATATATAAATATTACATTTATACTTCAAGGGATTTCTATTAACCTACATATCTACAATGTTGGCTAATAAATTATACCACTGCAAACAAGCCTGCACAGTTAGAAAGCTGTATTTGTGCTGCTTCTTATAGTCCTGCTGCTCTTGACCCATCAAACATCAAAGAACACGACCTCTATGGCAGATGCTTTGAGAAAAGTCATACTGTTTCTGCTTTTTTTTTTGACAGTTAAGACATCTCATCCCCTTTTCCTCTAACTCATGAGTTTTCTTTCCCTCTCTCTGACTTGCTGCCTCTGCCAGTCTCCCTTGCTTGTGGCCTGGGGCCTGAGATTCTCTCCCAGCCACCTCAGCAGCTCACTCAGCAGGGAGTCTCTGGTGAAAGTCGAGGTGCCTCAGGGCTCCCTACTCTGCCCCCTCCCAATCCAAAACCTTCAGCCCCTCAAGGCAGGCAAGGATTGAGTTCTCTGCTTCCAAATTGCAACATGGGCAGGACAAACCATTCTGGCGCAAAACTGTTGTTCCTCTTGTGGTTATTAGTAGAGTTAAAGCATATCCTTGAGAGGAAACCAAGGGCTGTTTTAAGGAAAAGCAAGAATGTTTACCATCGCATGTGAGAAATCAAAAGGTATTAAAACACTGATTTCAGTTCTCATGGGAATATTTGTTTTCAAACAGTTAAACTGTATATTTAATTTGGCTTTCCACTAAAAACCACTTTCATTGATGCCCATATTGTGATGATGCTATAATTCTGGCTGGAAATATTCAGTGTGTGTGCAAAGGCACATGTTCACGCGCTCATGGCTCTGAGCTCCCGCCTCCAGGCACTGACCCAAGCAGCCCACAGCAGAGCAATCAGAGACTTGGAGCCCATTTCCATGTTGGTTTAATGGGTTAGTAATTCTCTGGCAGGAGGCTAGACAGAAAGCAGATGGACACTTCATCAAGAACAATGAGCAGCAGCTGGCTGGCCCACTCACCCTGGCCTGACCCGGCAAGGCTTTCGGTACAACCCCAGCCTGGAGTAAACCCCATGTCATGACTCTGGGGATGGCCAAACTCCAATACACATGTTACTAAGTGGGAGGGAGACAGGCCTGTAAACTCCCGTCCCATTACAACACGCTCTGTTTTTAGGAAAAACCAGGTTCCCCTTCCCTCCCTTTGGGCCTTTTTTCAAGCTTTCATTATTGGTATCACTCCCCTTGCAATACATTAGGAGAATAGAGAGGGTGGATGGGAATAATACCAAATATATATGCACCATTCATCAATGTTGAGGAAGGAGGGACTGAGGGAGATTAAGAAAGGAAAACAGACTGTGCATTTATCACAATGACACATTAAAGCACACAACATGAATATCATAATATTCCCTTTGTTGTGTGACTGAAGGATTACAGCAGCATAAATACTAACATATGGGCTTATCTACCCAGCCAGAACAGGAACAATGTTGACATTCCACGAGAGCAGCAATAGTAACTAACATCTTTTTCTTTAATTTTTTCCCCTGCACATTTTTTCCATTATTACTGGGATTGCTTTTATTCAGCGTGGGAGAATATCTCAGTGCTGGACAGCGCTTTAGCCGGGGGTCAGAACAGCCAGGGATCCGAGAGAAGTTCTGAAGGGTGACCGTGGAGTGGACATCATGGTTACTATAGTAACAGAGTGAAACCGTAGTGGCCTCCTTTTGTAGTCGACCTGTTCGAGACGGGCCAGAACAGGTCAAAGGAGCCTCAAGTCGAACGCGACCTCCTCTACCTGCGAACAGTGCTTTTAATGAAGTCATCTGCACAGTCCACACTTCACAGAGGGTGACACTTAAGCACTGACCTCCGATAATTAGCTGGGACATTAAAATTAATTTCGGGGTGCAACTTTTAATAACAGCTGCAAGTTCATTTTTATTTTATTCATCCAAGGAAAACAGAAAGTGTGGGGAGCATTCGCAGTTCAACTTCATGAATATTCTGCTGACCTCTTAAACCTCGGCTCTACTTTTCTGCTACACAAGAATGAATCGTGCAATCTAACAAAGGTGCGCACGCACTCCTACACCTGCCTAAAAAAAGGAGCACTATTGATGTGGACTGCAGAATGAGAGAGGCTGAGTAAATAAAAGAGAAGAGACAGTCACAATCTAACATAAAAATAATGAATAGCATAGATAATAATAATAATAATAATAACGGAATGGTCAGTACCTTGAGGGCCATACTGGCCACTTGGAGGTCCATAGGATCCAGTGGAGTTGCTCTGCTGATAGCCACTCATACCATGCTGCATTTGGCTCCCGGTAGAAGGGTGTGGGGACACGGATGGCCCTGAATGAGGACCATACTGGCTCTGATTCCTCTGCATGTTGGTCAAAAACCCTGTCAAACAAATATAGTTAAACATTTCTGAACACCTTGCCTGGAATGTTTGAATTGCATTGTTACTTTTCAAATAAATAAGCTAAAAATTAAACCAAAAAATGCACCATTTTGTTAAACGGCTAATAATATCTTAATGCGATAAATTATTAATGTTACATTTTTTTTCAAACATTGTTAAGGCATTTTCCTAGTTCAATCTTTCTATTGTAGTGCAGGCTGAAGCCCAGCTGCAGGGAGCTGTATGTTGCTATGAAAGAATCCAGGGTTGTAGCCAGTTCATTCAAATACTACCATGATATTACATACACCGATCAGGCATGACATCATGACCACCTCCTTGTTTCTACGCTCATTGTCCATTTTATCAGCTCCACTTACTATATAGGTGCACTTTATAGTTCTACAGTTACAGACTGTAGTCCATCTGTTTCTCTGCATACTTTGTTAGCCCCCTTTTACCCTGTTCTTCAGTGGTCAGGCCCCCAATAGACTCTTACAGAGCAGGTACGTTTTGGGTGGTGGATCATTTTCAGCACTGCAGTAACACTGACGTGGTGGTACTGACATTTAGAACTCCAGTGCTGCTGGAGTTTTTAAACACCTCAGTGTCACTGCTGGACTGAGAATAGTCCACCAACCGAAAATATCCAGCCAACATCATCCTGTGGGCAGCATCCTGTGACCACTAATGAAGGACTAGAGGATGACCAACACAAACCGTGCAGCAGCAGATGAGCTATCATCTCTGACTTTACATCTACAAGGTGGACTGACAAGGTAGGAATGTCTAATAGAGTGGACAGAGAGTGGATACAGTGTTTAAAAACTCCAGCAGCACTGCTGTGTCTGATCCACTCGTACCAGCACAACACACACTAAAACACCACCACCACGTCAGTGTCACTGCAGTGCTGAGAATGGTCTGTTTTATGTTAACAATGTGTAAGTATAATATATTTGTATCTTTTTTTAATTGAAATTTTCTGAGCCATGAACAAAACATCAGTTGACTCCCAATGTTAAGTTATTGCAAACTGACCAAAAAAACATAATCGGCTATAATAATAGTAGATAATACTTAAAATTGTTAAGATTCATTGTAAGACTGTTCAACTTCATGAATATTTTGTTGACCACTTAACCCCTTAAATGTCCAGGACTGTTCGACAACCTATTCTTATCAGAATAATGCAGATCTGCACAGCAATCCATGTAGGTATTGCATAATAAGCCTCAGTATGTAATAAGCCTGGGATTTTAAGGAGTTACGCTCAGGTTCTGCTTCTCCACTTTGCATAAATACAGTGAATAACGAAGTCGAACAAACGTTTGTGTGCATCTGGGGTGAATTACTTCACCTGTCCAAAAGTGGGCCAGACTGTGTCTATGTGGTTTAATGTGAACACTACTTGAATTCATTAAACTTGAGTCCCTTCAAGCCCAGCTAGATGAGGTAGGAACAGAGCACCTACTATCCTCCCTCGAGCCAATGACACCTCCGTGTTGCCACGAGTGTAAAAAGGGCTGCTGTTCCTCACCCGCCCTTAGAAAAGCGAGCGATGCAGACTCTGAAGGAGGAGGAAACTGGCTACACTGGGATTTAACTATAACTAAATTGGGAGGCAATGGAGAAAAATAAATATAAAAACGTTGTGGGAGCATTCAGAAGCTGAATAGCTAGCAAAAACTGACATTTAGAGCAATCCTCAGTGGACCCAATATTTAACTGGAGTGGCACTTTATTACATTTAAAACCCCTGGGCAAACAGACCTAAAAGGGGAGGGGTGGGGGGAGGGGAGGTCCTCCAATCCACTCAGATGTGAAAGGTTGCCTCTGCCGGGCCGCTCTGCACAGTAATATTCCAGATTAGGCTAAATGGAAATGTTCGGCAGAGCAGCAAGCGGCCGTGTAAGAGCGTGCGCGTGTCGAGCACAGGGCCAGCTCCTTTTTTTATTGAGTGGGGCCTTTCAAACGCACACAGACAGGCGGCCGGTCATCTCCCCTGCACTCTGTTCCGCTTGGGCAGCAGTACCCGGCTAGCCGTCTGCAGGCAGCGGATGATGAGACAAGGGCTGAAAGTGCTTAGGCTGCCAGCGAGAGTAGCTTTAACGGGGGGACATTATTGTAATGTTTTGCTTCCATTAACGTAAGGGAGTTCGGGAAAAAAAAACACTGTGTAATACCGCGTTTTAAATTGCCTGGAAAATGGATGGAGAGAGAGAGAACGTTGCACAGACAGTGCTAAAAGCAAATAATGCATTCCCCCCCACCCGCCCCGTCCCTTCCAACATTCACCCCCCCCCACCCTGAGCACATGCTTGGCTCAAAAAGCTTGGCTCTTAGCTGGACAACAATGATCCGAGTGGTAAAGCAAGGGGGAGAAAAGTCGCTCAACTGAATTTATGGGAACAAAATGAGCTCTGAGCGGCCATGTGGATGCGAGACTGGACTCCATCATATATTTTAAACAACATAATGCAAACCACAGTCCTGAGTACAGAGAAGGAAAGGTGAAAGGAGTTCTCAGAGAGAGAGGGGTGGAGGGAAAGTGAAAGAGAAGAAACAGAGATGTGCACTTCCTTTATGCAAAAAAGCTATGGACATGGGAGCCAATTCGGGTCAAATACTGGGGGGGGCAAGAAAAACAAAAGAGTTTTTTGAGTTGATGCCCTAATCTGATGACAGATGTTTAATTTGGGGAAAGGACTTTGAAGTAAGAGCAGGGAATCATGGGTGAATACATGTAAGTTATTAATAATTCATTTTCCTTTTCGTTATCATACACTTTTGTGATAAAGCAGATCGTGTGATCACATTGCACTGCTTTTGTCTCATAATATTATGAGCAGATCACATACTAGAAAAATGGAATGTGATCTGCTCATGATGTTAACTGATAGTATCACTTTATTATTTTATCATTTTAATAAATTATGTGAAAATATTTGGAATTCAGAACACTACCCCTTGTTGTTCTTGTCAGCGCTCATGTTAACGGGTCAAAGGTTGCACTTAGGCAGCACGCGCAGAGCGGCAGAGCCTCCCAGACAGAGAGAGGAGCTGATTTCTCCTTCTTCATTTATGGCAGCAGTATGTCAAATTATTGACTCAAAATAATTACTTAAATTTACTTCATAGATTGGAAAAATGACTTGCTATCTTGTTATTCCTTACTTGGGTGAAGAGATGATTTATTTTCTCAAAATACTGACTTACCACGTTGACAAATGACTTTGTATCTTGTAATAATGAAACATTGTCCCAAAATAAGTACTTTCTTGCAATTTAATAACATTATTTCAACATACAACATATTATCTCAAAATCTGAATATCTAAGCCATTATTCCAAGATATTAAGTCAATATTTCTAGAGAATTAGTCATTACTTCGATGCTAAGTCATTTACAAAAAAAAATTATGGCATGATTGTGAGATACTAAGTCAATATTTTGAGAAAATATGGCATTGTTGTGAGATTCTAGGTCAATATCTTGGGAAAATCAGTCATTATTTAAAGAAACTAAGTCAATATTTTGACATACTACTGTCAGAAATGGTGAAAATAAAAAAGCAGAAGATTTCAGAGGATGTTTCCCCTCTACCTGGCAGGACTGGGCCTCCAAACAAAGCAGAACGTCCATGCAGTGGGACATTTCTCTGATGGGCTTTAGGTTTTCACTAGTGCAATCATCTAATCATCTACAGTACTTCCTTCTGTACAGTTATAGGAATAATGAATAGAGCAGTGAACCAAAAAAATCAAATGCAACACTGAAAATGAGTTCTTATGCTACAATAACAGCATTAATTATTGAAACACTAGGCTAATTACTGATAAACTGCAAACAGCAGAAATAAACGTTAACACTGAGAATAATTTGACACCTACAGTGTTAAATGAGGAGCACAGTGAATTCAGGTAATTTACATGACTCTTGGATTCTTCTCTGTTAATTTCAGATGGAATGTAACGCAGGTGAGCATCAGTGTGTAAATGCCTTAACATCACATCACTCAGATGTGAATTTACTGGATTGGATTTCTGTTGTGTTTACCTCTCTCCTGAGACATGGCAGTCTGGTTGATGGCAGAGTGGGAGTCAGATATGTTCCCAGGGGTCTGGGGGGCTAGCTGGGAGCCTGCAGAGAAGAGAAATGAAGAGGAGTGAGTGTCATAAATTACAACAATCATGTCCTAGACAGACCGAAAATCTGAGAATACTGTATTACTCTACATAAGAAGTAACAACACCCTTTAATCATGATAAAATCACTGTAATGTGTGTCGTCAAATGGTTTGCAGCTTTATTGGCATCTCTTGTAATATATTGATACAGTCTGGATCTATAATGTTGCATTTGTTTACAATATTCCAAGACTACACATCCATAGTAGACTGAAAATGCAACCAAGACTGCATTTTTTAGCACTTTCATAACGTTGCACACCTCTACATTCTGCTCATCATGAAAGACAGAGAGAGGTGAAAAGAGAAACTTCGCTCCATACTACCGTAAGTTCCCATTCTGACTACAATAATGGCCCTTTTATTCCCTTTTTTAGGCCCTTATCTGCCAAACCCTGGTCAACATTCAAAACTCAGCAACTTCTCAGACACCAAACGGTCAGCCAACATCAGTCCCCTCCTCTGTCAACTGCACTGGTCATAGTTTTCATCCCAGATTCAATAAAAATAACCTCTCATCACCTTCACAGCCCTTCATGGCCTCGCCACTCAATATCTGTCTGAGCTTCTTCGTCCATCTGCACCCAGTCTGTTCACTCGGCTCTTCTGCTTCAGCTCTGCTTGTGCTGCCTATGTTTAAAGTTTCTCTATCGGAGGCTGATCTGCACCAAGTTTCAGAATCAGTCCATTTAATCCTTCAAATTAAAATCAATCCATTCGTGTGCAAAACTTTTGGTCAAATTACGTTTTGCTGATTTTTCTAAGTGAAAACAACACGGTAACACTTTAAACACTTTACTACAGGGTGCTGTTAATAAAGCTACATGACACGTACATAAGGTTGTCATGACAACTGAGATAACCCTACATAACTGTTTATAAATGCTTGTTCCAATAAGCGTCATTCGCTATAAAGTTAGCTAAAGTAGCCTTTATGGCCTTTTGTAATGTAAAGGACATGTAGCTGTCAAGAAGCGTCACTGAGAAAAGGGAACAGACAAAAAAGAACATTTGCAAATCAAACAAATAAACTGCTAGTGTTCTCAGAACAATGGACTGACCACCCCAGAGTCCAGTTCTCAACATCACAAAATGACGGAATGTCTGCAGGATTACGTGGATCGTGAAAAACAGAAATTGCAACCAAGTTCTAAGACTAAACTTTCTAGATGTGGAAAAATATCCCTGCAGACTTCCTTTTTACCTGTTTTCTGCTTTTTTCATGGTGCTCAAAAATAAATAATTTGTACTTAGTGGTCAATTTGCTAGGAAATGACATACAGGGTGGTCTCAGAATTTTACACAGCACTGTATTTCCCCACAGAAGAGGTAGATACAATCTGCTGTGATATGCAATTTTCTCTTACATCAGTACTGTATAACAGCACGTATCAAACGACACAGGATGTAAAATACTAAAACACATTCAATAAGGTGACGGATATCAGCATTAATAATAATCAGTGTGATGTGGTGCTGGTGGTGTTTATTATTTGCCTTCCAGAGACGATCTCTAATATGAGGAGTAATAATTAACATTACAATATGAGAGAGCACTGATTTCTGACACACAAGGGTAAGAAGCGTAAATTAGCCTGTGCCTCAGTGACACGGCACCGATGCCACTGATGCCGTGAACCAATGAGCAAAAGGGGTGATAAACTCTGAACCAATGAGGGAAGAGCAGGGAGGCTGTGAAACCAGGGCAACGAGGGTATCAGAGGCTGAGAGCCAATTGGCACTGGGAATAGGAGACACTTTTCCAATGGGGACCAGGAACAACATGCTGCGAGAGCATGTTATGAAATTCTGAAATACTTTCAGCAGATAATATTGCAAACATTGACACACTGGAGAATAAAACAGATCTCAAGATGGTCCAAACAAACTCATTTAATGACCTGACGGTTTATTAGGCACAGCTACCTTGTACATACACTTACAGGCCATTTTATCAGAAACACCTACGATACAGGTGAAATCTGTTGGTTTATAGTAGCTGACAACTGTAGCTCATTTGTTGCTAGTTTATATAATGTTAAATAAATATCATCATATATTAACAAAACATAAATATAAAACAAAAAAAGTCAGAACAAAACATTGTAACTCAATTTGTTCTTAACACCAGCTGTTGTTTACACTGTCAAAATTTCACAAACCCAAAGAAATAGTCCAAAAGTACAAAGAAAAATATCTTATATTAACATACATCAAAAGTTGTAAAGTTATTTTTTGGAGATAAGAGGTTTTGTTCCAATCGTGACAAATATATATATATATATATATACAGGAGAAGTTTATTTTGGCCATTTCTGTTGGTCCATTCTTCATGAAATTCACAAACAATTTAAAGGGCAACAAGTATATTCAAAATATGTCAAAATCTAAAAAATATGTTCATGTAAAATATATGTAAAATATTTGGGGTCCCATTTTCTCTGTAGCTTTTGATACTTTTTTTTGAGCTCCAGTTGTGAAAACTCTTTCATTTGCCTCCTGAAACATGAATAAATTATATCTAATGGCAGTTTTGACTGGAAATTTAAAAACTGAGCAGTGGTCTCTGATTTGTGCACAGCACTGTACCAAAAACACGCTATATGTTACATATTTTGCAAGTAGAATGTGTTATTGATCAAAGACTATCAGGCTTTTTTTGCTGAACATTAGAGAGCAAGTAAAATTATACTGATTAACATAATATCAACATGACAAACGGCTAGAGGTGGGAAGCACTCCATGTAAACAAACTCGGCTAACTAAGCATAATTGCATTCCGTTAACTCTGTAAACAAGCTCTCTGTGTAGGTGCCCACGCACTGAGCGCCTAATGGCCGAGCACCAAGACCGTGATCCATTAGTAAGTGTGAGACTGGGCTTTGGGGAACGACGGTGAACTGTTACGAAGCAGGCCGGAAATAACAGAGACCGGAACACGCCAGAGCAGTGACAGGGATGTGGAAGAAAAGAAGGGAGTGGAGGAGCAAATTGTGGCTTTCTGTTGTCTCTCTGGCTCATGGGGCTTGCTGGGGCTCATGCTTTCACTGAGCAATGTGTTTCCGGAGGGGGGCCTTTTTGCTGTCACACCAGGAGTGTGTTAGCACTGTTTCCAGCCCTGCTGAAGCACATCCGCTGCTGAAGCAAGGTCACACTCCTCCTCCCCTGCTATCTGAGGCACACAGGCCTGTGTGGACTTGCGTGTAACAGTGTGTGAGTATTATAGATGAATACACTGTACGCATCATGTGTATGAGGGTGGACATGCGTGCTTATTGAAAAGTGAACATGTTTAGTGATTGTGTGGCACAGCTGTCTCCAACAGGATGGGGGCGTGCTCACTTTCTATGCCACTGCCTCGAATATACACACAAAAAAGGGAATTCCACCGAGGTACTTGGTTAACCATTCAAGGTGCCAGTATTCGAACAGTGAAATCACTGTTTGGGTGTTTGTTACATTCCATCACAAGAACAGGCTAATATTCAAAGGTTAACAATTCAAGGAAACGTCAATTTTATGTTTTAAAATATCTTCAATATTCTTTCAATGCTGGTAACATTTTCTGATAAGGACATTCGCCAGCTTCTTGTCTGAATCATCCCATTCCACCTTAAATGGCACCTGAGGTGTAATGATAACTGCTGCATCATTTAGAGTGAAACAGGAACATTTGAAAAATAAGCAGTTGAATAAGACACTGACTTCAGCTTCGTAGTTTTAATGCTGGTAGTCTTTTTTTGATAAGGTGATTCAGGCTATCAAAATATCCTACCGAGACGTTTTATGTAGGGAGCTATCTATAAATATCCGCTAGGGCATTTTGACAAAGTAGCATAATTCATCGTAACACCGGCTCTGGCACGGCTTTTTCACTACCTGTGCGATCTACTCTTGTTGGTGTTCGCTAGGTCCAAAAACAGTGAAAGTATATTTCTCTGACAAAGTAACATGTCAGCACATCAGCCACAGAGAAGAAAAGACCTTGTGTAGACAACAACAAGTCCTCATCAGCAGTGGTTAGCAGTGGTTAGCATTAGCTCATTAGCTCCTCTAAAGATTCAGCTTCTTGGTATTCATTTCAACACAAAACCTACCAATTTCTCTCGGCTATTTCTGAATAATAAAACAGGTTTTCAAACCTTCAGTGCTAACATCTTAAAATTAATTCTGCAACCCCCTCTGTTGCCTTTTCCTTCCCTGCAGTTCGCCTGATATCCATTCATTAACTGTAACAGATACTTGAATATCAGAATTATTCAGAATGCATATCCCTAGTTTAATCGTTGAGATGAATACAAAGTCATCCAGAGTGGTTTGATGTGAAATGGTTCATTGTAGAGAAATGCAGAGACTCACATTTCTTTACAGTGGTGGTGATAGAAACCAAAATGAGTAATAAACCAACACACGTCCCCTGAGTTTTTACATGTATTGTTGATGATGGTAAGAAAGTAGCTTTCTTCAGGGACTGTTTTGCCTTGCAACACCCTGCCTGTATCTCTCCTCTATTAACAGATAAAAAAATCTTTTATGTTTACAATTATTGTAAAACATTGTTTCAGATATCAGGCAGTATATTCATAATCATTTCATGTAATAACCTTCTGTGAAGGATCAAACCACTATGAATGACTTTCACAAATTAATCATGCAGAATTTTGAAATATCAGTGAATTTTTCCATTAATATTTAGTTTAAATAACAAAACAGAAACCCATTTCAATACATTCTGATATCCCTTAAAAATTTAATTGCTGTTACTTTTACTTCAACATTTCCCACACTGAGCAACAGGCAGATCAGCATGATGAAAATAAGAGGCTTTACTTGTAAAGCAGGGATTTCATCCAAACCACCAAACCATCATATTATAAGAAACAGTGAGCTTACTGATGTATAATCCTCATTATGACAATAAACGTAATCAACGGCATCAAAAAATAACCCTTGA